CCTAAAAAGGAGGATGATAAAGTGCATACCTCCACGTACTACAATGTGTTGTCTAAGCTTTTTAAGGATACATGTTGGACTTTCTTAACCCAATGCCCCCCAGACGTTGCCTGGGAAACATTTACAAGGACGTCTAGCACACTGGTAGCGCACGCATCAGCACAGAAGTCCTTCCAACCCAAAGATAAACATTAGTCATTTCTGAGGAACATAACACATAAATGTATGTTCCGGATAGATTTGGCATGGCGAGATCACCAGGACTGCTCGAATGCCGAAACATGAACTTCATACTTGACACATCGTAACTTCTGTGTGAAACTGATCCGCGAAGATAAGATCGTTCGTCAGCAGAAGTTAATGAAGCGATTCTGCACGAAAGGCATACTCCTGTACAGGCACGTTAACGACCTTTGAAAAGTGAATTGGGGGGTTCCAGCACTCGTCACGACTGATTGGTGCACGCGATCAGCAATGGAAGCAGCTGATCTCCCACGGCTTCATTACTCCCAACAGTAACGAGACTAAACATCCTGCTCATTTATAATACTCCACCAACTGGTTTAGAAAACATCGCTATCACTGCGGAAACAGCGTTGAAAAAGTTGTTATCCTTGCGTATCCACAGTTCGCCCGGAGCTGACAACATCCGACCAAAGGCTCTGCAGCCGGTAATTAGTGATCTAAAAGAACAATTGGCGGTTTTCTATCAGCGATGTTTAGAAGAGAAGCGTATTCCATCAGTATGGAAGCGAGGGGTCCTCACTCCCTTTCGTAAAGGAGGTATCCGCACTGATCCTGCCAACTACCGTCCAATAACACTACTTCCAATACTATCCAAATTGATGGAATCAATCATCGCAGATGCGCTGATGCAATACCTGTAAAGTCACAAGTTAGCAGCCCCAGAGCAGCATGGCTTTCGTCAAAAGCATTCGTGTAATACTAACCCATTAATGGCACGTACTAGCTATACTGAAGCTGTTGACTATGGAATAGAAGTCGATGTAATCTACCTGGACTTTTCAAAAGCGTTTGATTGCTTAAACCATCGAATTCTCCTTTAGAAGATTCGGAACTAAGTCATTGGCGAAACAATCCTGAGTTGGATTGACAATTTTCTACAAGAACGACGGCTAGTGGTGCGAGTCCGAAAATCATTGTCTGATGCAATCGATGTGGCATGTGGAATACCACAAAGCTCGGTTCTTGGACCAAGTCTATACTTGGTGTTCATTAACGGTTTGGCGAGGTCAATTACTTCCGATTTCCTACTTTCGCTAATGAAATCAAGGTTTGGCGAAGGATCAGAGGATCGGAAGACCACGGACGGCTCCATTGCGACCTTAACACAGTGTCTAACTGGGCGGTTCAAAACGCCATACCATTCAAGGTAGACAAATGTCGCGTTGCACAATTACGCCATAGACATAACTACACCTATTTACTCGTGAAAAACGGATTGCAGTATAGCTCCCAGGAACGTGAACTTAGTGTGCTCGTACAGAGCGACCTCAACTGTTCAAAACAGGCTGAGATAGCTGTGAAAAGAGGCAACTATCCCATCGGCATGCTGCGAAGGGTATTCGGGTGATTTGACCCATCATTCTTCCCAATGATGCACAATTCCTACGTGCGCCCGCATGTTGAATACGCTATCCAAGCTTGGCAACCTTGGTTGAAGCGTGACCTAGAAGCGATAGAGGCACCACAACGAAGAGCAACAAAGAATGTAAAGGGCCTGCGCTATCACTCTTACCATCGAAGACTGAAGTTGCTGGGAATTTTCAGCGGACGCTATCGTAGGCTGCGCTGCGATCACATATTAGCGTATCAGATATGGTGTGACCCCAACCATGTACGCCGCCATGTGCTGAAACGTAGCCACAACGCGCAGCTCACGGGTAACTGCTAAAACTTGAAGGAACAATATAGCCGTCTAGAATGTCGACGGAATTACTATTCTCTTCGGATTTGCCAACCCTGGAACGCACTCCCAGACTCATTTGTATCCTCTCCTATCTTGGATGTTTTCAAATACGATTAGATGTTGCTCTTAGCTCTCAGCATTTTGTTACCTAAACTCCTCTATTGTGGATTAATCCATGCGTGCTTTTCTACAGGATTTATGTATCAAATGGACCTAATTGAGCGACCATATTTTGCTTTTCTCACACCTTATTTCAATGATCACTGCACCACAGTGTCTTTCTGAACTTTTACGCTCAACATTTTTTAAATTTTACACTGATATTTATTATCAAACTATTCATCACGGCAGATGTTCGGTAGATGACCCAGATATATTTTGATCTCATTATATTCACCTCAACCATCCTACGGGACATGTCAAGTACTTGCTTTTATCATGTGATTACTTATTATTCATTGTTCAGGTACCTCAAATTCACCATAGCCTTAGGCCGACTGGGCCACGGCATTCTATTTCACAGGCTCAAAAGCTATGGAGTTGGTGATCCTGTCATTGGATGGATCAGGGATTTCCTGCAGGGTCGGCACATGCAACTCAGAGTTGGAAGTGCGCTTTCTGATCAGAGCTATGTCGAATGTGGAGTTCCACAAGGATCAGATCTGGAGCCACGTCTGTTTCTCAGGTTCATTAAACTGCATACGCGTTTGAGTACTACAATTCTCTTGCTGGTAGCTGACGATGTTAAGAAGTCGGGAACCATCGCCCACCCAGGAGATCACGATGCACTTCAGAGAGACCTGGACACTACGTATGAGTGGTCACTCCACAGTCTACTTAGTTCAATTCGAGGAAGCCTAGGTGGTTCACATTCGCCATCAGCCGGACATCACATACAAAGTTGGATATCTTGTACTGCAAGCAGTCAGCCTGCAGTGCGACCTTGGAGTCCAAGTTCAGGCTGAGTTGGGCTGCTTAGAACCATCTGAGTAGGCATCAAAGACCGAGAACCAACCCGTTGACATGCTGTGCAGGGCATTTGCGCGGTTTGATTCCTCGGATTTTTCGCACTGGCTTATCACCTACGCGTAAACTCATGTGGAATGCGCAATCCAGGTGTGGCAGCCTTTGGCACAAGCTAGACCTCACAGCGCTCGTGACTCCACAGCGACGAGTCACGAAGCACGTCAAAGGGTTGTTCCATCTCCCTTTCCAACTTAGGCTGAGGAACCTAAAACTATACAGTGACCAGTACCGGCGCGTACGTGGCTATCTTATTATGGCCTATTAGCTTCTAAGGAACCAAATTCACGTCTGCTGTCACCTACTACAACTAAGCCACAACACGAATTTGAGGGGCTACCACTTCAATCTGGCCACGTAATACAGTCGGCTACAATGTCGACGGAACTTTTACTTTCTTCGTGTGTGTCAGTCTTGGAACACCCTCATAAATTACTTTGTTCCTGCCCCCACTTTATCTGTGTTTAAAAAGCGCCTTGATGTTGCCCTAAGCCACTAACACTACGAGAAATAGCCTGTGTGTCTCGACGTACGATACAATACGACGGACTTTACAAAACCAGAATTAAATACAACATTGTGGTTGGTTCTTTCTGCTTACACCGTGTTGAATCCACCAAATCCACGTGTATTCTATCCCTTTATTTTCTGTTCACCATGTGGTGATTCTCTTTTTGGCTATCCTACAGGCTTTTCTAAGCCTCCGCTTATTTGCCCGTAATGTACTTTTTTTCATCTTTCCATAACATGTCCTGAAGTATGTCATGTTACTGTATTTTAACCGGTGGTGTATCATCGGATAGCATTCGGCTACTTAACTATGATCACAAACTGAATGAAAACAATACGAAATACTCTCTTCCATGAACGCAGTCGTTAGTGGTCCTGAATAGACCGGCAGGGATGTTATGCACTTTCTAAACCAGAAATTCCGTCTCGTAATTTTAATGTGGTACTGTTTCTGTAGTGTAGACGCAAACACCTCACGATGCGTTGTCATCTAACTGGAAAGGGCGAAGCACAGCTGACGCCTAACAGTCAGATTGCAACACACCGGAAGGATATCGACCAAAGAGTTAGGGTTGATTTGAACTCATCTCTATGATCGATCAGCTATAACTTGTGAGGTCGGTTTCATTGTCACTCAACTCACATTGGTTCTCCAATAAAATCCAGCTGCCGCATACTCGCCTTGTCTGCTTATTCGTATTGAGGATTGGCCTACTCTCGCAGAGTTTGACACAAACTTAAAAAAAGACGGACGACCATTTATGCATCGCTCCCAATGTGCGGACATTCATTATAGATACATTAGAAGATTACGCAGGGGCTAACACCAAGTAACGGTTTTAAATGGTGACTAAATTCTCGTTATTATCACCGAAAATATTTACACTTAACAAGAGTAGCTTTTCCGATTTTCGAACATTTACTATCGTGAAATTAATACGATAAGTATGTCCACGGCTTTCCGGTTTCTCGATTTTAGCCACAATTTTCCACATAGAAAATTTCCACATTTGAAACATAGAGAAATGTGATACCTTTGTTACATTTGCAAGAAAAAGAATTATTGCGGATACTTTGTTTCCTGTTTGTATCGACCATAAGTATTGCGTTAAATAATTGTGAAGTAATTAATTTGACAATCATGGCACAGGTCAATGCTTTCACTGTAGCTGTTTACCGTCCTGAAAATATGGCGGATAAACGTAGTTGAATTTCGCGGAACGTAGTAAAAACAACCACATTTGTTAATTCGCATGAACTTTAACATGTTATGTAGGATAATGGCAGTTTGTGTCATCATAAATGGTGTCCGACAATTACCGCATGCTTTATTGGTGCAATGTTTCTCAAAGATCATGAACCGAATCTTACTTTTTGGAGTAAAATTGCACAAGCGCTAGTTTCATAATTTAGTTGCATGGTCATTGTACCGCGAGGTACCTACCCGAAACCGAGCAAATGAAGCGAATCCTATGATAGATTCGCTTTGGTTACGCGACTCTCCCATAATTAGATTTCATATTCTCATTCATTGCAGAAACAAGGTAAGGTAACACTATTAGTTTTTTCTTACTACCCAAACTGGAAGCCGTGCATTTATTATCAGATATTATTCCCGACCATTTACTAACAGGTAAGCCTGTGAATATGCGGAGCCTGAAAACAATATCCACCTATCAGAGAAGATGGTCAAGTTCGCCCCATGTGCGAAAACATTCGAAACCATAAATAAATGTGGATGGATACCGTGGAATTTTAACGGGTTTATATAACGAACTACAAGATTTTCTTATAGGAAACACATTGTCATTTAGGCAAGCTGAAACTGCATGTATACATGTTGTAGTAGAATAAAGGAATCAAAAAGTAAGGCCAAATCGTCGGCCTTGTCCTATATCAAACTTAAAGTCCTACTGTACTCTCACATGCACGCATAGATTCTTATGACTTTCGCCAAGTTACTGCTCGCTGCGTTCTTACTGAACTGCGGTTAGTCCGTTAGAAACCGGCATATATACTGTTAGCGCAGCCTTGTAAAATGTATTTATATCTGACTACCTTTCCTATATCAAGGTTCAGCGCATTAAATAATGCATACCACTTTTGAAGAAATAATCCTTCATGGGTGATAAAATTATTGTTCCGTTTTCAGTTCGACGAAATTCCTGTTTCCGTATGGTTCTTTTCAGCTGACAAAACGCAATACAGCCGTTGTCTGAATCCATCATACGACCAAAAGACGATTTTTGGTAATGGCTTTTCCTCAATGGGGATCAGCACACGAAACTGAAACATAAGGTGAAAAATGAAGGAAAGTTTAGATAGTGTTAACGTGAAAATTACGACAGTATTTACGTGAGCCGAGATATATTGTGTGGGTTTGGAATAACCACTCCACGGGCACTAATGCCTTAGAGTATAGAAAGTAAAAACAGAAGTCTAAACACTTGCATAGGCTTAGAAATGAACCGCTTGTTCGTAAGTATAACTAAGGTTACTGTTTTGGCCTGCTACAAAATTCAGTGTATCAGACGTTGTACGTTACCATTGTATGGGTCACGCTCCGGGTGTCCTACTCTGGTCAATTTTACGGTTCTTGCGTACTGTAACACTCAGAAATATGGCCATAATCCATGGTATTCGCTTGCTTGCAGCAGCATCCAACAATACAATTTTGCACATGGTTAAATTTGATAGCTTTTCATATACATCACTACATCCTATATGCTTTAATCGGGGATGTTTCGTCGGCGTGCACTAGGGAATTGCAAAGCACGATGCATGCACCATATCGAAACATGCCAGATTGTTTTGCTACTCATATCGGACCGATCTTGTGCGCTTCCTAACGTTTTAGACACTCACGGAAACACCCATTTCAGATCATTTTAGACGGTTTTCTCCGTGGATTATGTTTACCAACCTTTGGATGTATATACTCTGTCAGGAGAACAGAGTATTGTTTGGGGAATTGGCCTGTTTGCTGCAAAACGTGCCACTTATTCTTAAGCGCTCCTGCAACCATAGTCAAATAAACAGAACCCAAGAGATTAAAGAGTTTCGAGAGTAAATAACCTGTGTCAACCAAGTGTTTCTCTGTTGTTTCTAGCTACCATAGTAGGCTTATTATCATAGTAAACATTCCTCGGTGCCTTATATATATACTACTCAGTTTGCTTTATCTATGAGTTTGTCGAGCTTATTGAATTGAAGGTTGTGTCAATCTGTCAAGTTGATCAAATGGTTCTTATTCCACAATGTACTTAAATCAAAAGCTGCACTTGACTCATTTAACAGCAAGGGAAATTTAATTTGACACTTTGCACCTGTACATAGCTTGATTAATAGAATGTACAATCTCGGGATATGTCAAATTTGGATGGCCGTATCCAATTTTAGATTGGCCTGTCACTGCACAGGACTCCTTCGCCTACAGAGGTATCATGGGCGGTTTGCGCTGCACTACCCACAGCTCCATTTACACGCTACATATCCAGTGTAAACCCGAAGGAATAAAAACGAGTAGCATGTGGTGGGAGCCAGGTCTCATCAACGTAGCCGGCCCACACTCCTTCAACATGCACAGCAGCAGCATTCCAGTCCGTCTATCTGAGGAATCAGGTGTACCGGACGTACACAAGCTGGTGGCTGGGCCGTAGTCCACTCCATACTGGATTGAACCACCGTGTGTGCATAGCACAGCCACGAGGATGGTGCGTCCCAACATCTCCAACAACACTTCATTGTTTTCTGGGGCCAATCTACACGAATTGGAGGGTGATAGACAGGTAGGCACCTTGTCAACATTCATAGCAAGTGCAGTCCCACTGTGGATTGCAGACAATTAACAACTCGGAGGCACTCGTACAGACCAACAGCAACGATAATTTAGCCCACGTATTAGCGTGGGTAAGTATACCAACTGGAAGCGGGCGCAGCGTACTACCAAAGCGTTGGGTTGTTGTTTAGTACCTATGTAGCTGACCCGTCGCCATTTGGATGTTGAACCAGCGTAGTGACGATGTTAGTATACGAAGCCTGCTTGGATTGGGTACTTGCGACCGCATGTGCTATAGCATCATGTGTTCAAAATCGGTGGGATATCCACCGACATTGCTTTTCTGTATGCAGTAGTGATTTCTAGTACATCTAGGTAGCCGCTTACTTGACATGCCCTCGTCCTCTGCGTCGATCCCTTGACATCACTTCCCAACATCTGAAATCAACTTTAGTTCGCGCTATACTTACTTTTATCATGTTTTGATAACGGAACTTGGTTTGCCCTTTTGTCTCTACCCTTAGCTATGTTGTCCAAATAACAGTTAGTTGAGTATCCTCGGCGAATTCATACGGCTGATACGTTTCGGTCACGTCAGGTGCCTCAACATTGTATGCAGTCCGCTGCGTACGTGCCATTGCGGTGCAACAGTGTCGCATTAACCAATTTGCAGCATACAACGCGGGTGTTGTTGCTTTGGTTGCTCCATAAATAATATGTCCAGTAATCACTATGGCTTACGATATCTATTAATTAGCAGCAGTTGCTTAGGGGATGCATATACAGCGCGCCAAACTGCAGCCAAGAGGACCTAGAACCTTTGACGCTTGCATTTGAACGCGCAGCTAGTCTACTATATGTACATAAAATTATTGCAGGTGATTTCAACCTGCCTTCCATTTCTTTGCCCATGGGAACCGCTCCTTTGAAGCACCAAAAGCCTAACTCCTGTATCCAAAGGAATGGCTGAGAGCAACATATCTCCTAACCTACCAGAAGTGAAATTACTCTGGATATGATTCCTTTTTTGGATGTATCTGCTATTCATATTAACGTCCTTGACGAATTTCCGGGAACCGAGCATCCAGGTGGTCTGATGCTGTGTGAGACTATGCATGGCCGGTGTACAGAACAAAATGCATGGTCGTCTGTTCAATTCCATCAACCGGAAAACTTTATGGACCTGTTTCGTTCGATGAGACTCTCGAAAAGGGCATGGATTGTATCTGGATACGTTTTCGAAATACATACACGGAACATTTCGAACTGCAGCCCAATTCATTTCATTTTTTCTCGGCGCAAATATCTGTCACGGGATTTTGAAGAATCCTGGTTCACTGACAAGAAAAAATAACAGAAACGTAAAACATTTGTTCCCCTTCATCGATTTCGTCAAAGCAGAAAGAAGATATAGGTTGCGATATGTCAACATTTCGATTGTTCTCATCAGTCGCAAACACAATACAAGCAGAAACACAGACACATTTATATACATGGGAAAATATTGGCACACCAATGAAATGGACTATGTGGCAAATGATATCGGACACAAGCTCAGGTCCGCCATAAATCGCACATACACGACTGCCCAGTTGCGCCTCATGCACACTACCCGTAAACTGGTTCTTCAGGACCGTCAGAGCTACCCTACGGATAGTTCGGCCTCTCATGTGGTTCATCAATTCACCTGCAGTTGCGGTGATGTTTAGATAGGCAAGATTAACCATCGGTTGGCTCAGAGGGTAGCTGAGCACTTGCCAAAGTGGGTTGAACAAATGATAGCGCAACAGAACGGAACGCCCCACAGAACGAATCGGAGTCCGTCATCATCTATCGCCAAACACCTCTTGACAACTGGTCACTATGTGAACCCCACTAATGCGTTCAAGGTGTTATTACGTAACAGGAACCCGATAAGGTTGGCAATCAGTGAGGCGTTGCTAATTAGCGCTTATCAACCTGTGTTATGTGCACAAAAACTCTTGAGGCCATCAATCAGATTGCCTTGGTCTTGATTTTGACAGTTTCATTGGTGTGCCAGTATTTTTCCATGTATATAAATGTGTCTGTGTTTCTGCTTGTATTGTGTTTGCGACTGATGAGAGCAATCGAAATGTTGACAAATCGCAACCTATGTCTTCTTTCTGCTTTGACGAAAAAGTAACAGAACCATTCTGATTACTGTGTCATCTATTTTGAAATTGCGCACATGTTTATTTCGTAAAACGTCCTACTGTAATGTCATGGAATGTTTGTACCATTATTTGATCAGTTCCTTCTAGGGAACAGCTTCTCGCCTCCTCCAGGAATGTACAAATTATTTATTTAAATAATGGAAGACATTCGGATAAATCATTCAAGTGTCGTTGCATGATAGAAGACCAAACAAAACCATCGTCTTGTATGCCATCACTTTCGTTCTGTTAGTGATTTGACGCTTGTTTCACCCCCAATTCTTCAGTATGCCAAATACGGCAGTCGCCTTCGATACATGAATACGTTGCTAGTTCATCTTCTGAGAGTCGGTCGTACGCTCACTCCCCAGGTAACATACTATGGATGAAGTATTCAAAAGGCTAATTCCAATTTGGATTAAGGGCAGGCACAATGATTCTGTTTCTGAAGGTGGATAAAAGACAGTCTTGCTTGTGTTGCGGTGAGCACAAACACGGCTGTCGTCGAAGCTAGAGCCGAAGTCATGTACTGCAACCCATACTCGCTGCGTGTACACAACAAGCAGAATTATATGTCCTGGTTTTTAGTTTGAAGAAGAAGGTGGCTCATCTCCCATCCAGAGGTCGCCACGAGGTGGCTTTTAGAACACGACTCCATGGCAAAACATTAGGAGCAGCAGGTAAGTAATCTAACAAAATTTAGCCACAGCAAGCGTCAGCTAGCCATGAAACCTCTCACCGTGAGGACAAATACATTTATAAAGTGAGTAAATAAATAAATAAATAAATTGTATATTGCTCGACG